ACTGAACTCCCCCCGAGCGAGAGAGAGAGAGAGAGAGAGAGAGAGAGAGAGAGAGAGAGAGGAGAGCCTTGCTGCACTACTCTCGAAATGTGCAAAACGAGAGTGAATCTTCCGCTAGAACATGGAAAGATACACCGGCGCCATTTGTCTTTTGTGCATTTCGAGAAGCCCGCAGTTTTGATGGGCCGCGCGGAGCACCCCGCACAGGCTGCCGAGATTCTCTCTCTCTCTCTCTCTCTCTCTCTCTCGCGCGCGCGCACGGAGAGATTCGGGCTTTCTCTAGTTTGTTTGTTTGTTTGTTTGTTTGTTTGTTGAATGAAGCAACCGAGCGTTGGCTTGCCCAACCCTTGAAAGTCGCGGTGCGTTAACGGCCGCGACTTTTTAAAACAACAGGGAGGTACTGGTGGTTTAAATCCGTGAACAAGTAAATCTCGAGTAACCAAACCGGATCATAGACATTTGATCACTTGAGTCATTATACTCAGTTCGAGAATAATAGGTTCCAAAGAACTCGATTCAGGGGGAGTTGTCATTGCTCTTTGCTGGTGTACATCTTCTTCTTCTTGAATCTTCTTTCTATTTCTTCGTACTCTTATGTTTATTTCTTTCTCCAAGTACTTCCCTTTCATTTGGAATTGAACGGCATTGTCTTTCCCTGTGTTATTGCACTTTGGGATAGCCAGGATCATAACAAAAAGAAGAAACCAGCACGTGCAGCTGAGTGGTACACCCATCAACTGTTGATAAACAGACCTGAGAATGTTGAGATGCACTCAGAACCCCTGTTCGCTTCCCATCTTTTTTATTTCAATGTGGCGTTCCCCAGCCGTATCTTTCCATGCTCGGCCTAAAGGACCCAAATACCTGGCGGAGGCAGGCAAAAAAAGAAATTGTGCCCTTGGTGTGCAGCAGACATCCGCATGGAGAAAAAGAGGCTTGGAGGTAATTGCGGTACCAGCCAAAGGGGAGAAGAGAACATGCCGGCACCAGTAGGTTTTAATCGCCATGCAGCAGAAATCCACATCAGGACAAAGAGGTTCAGAGGTACTGGTGGTTTAAAGTTCACATCACCAGTAATTCCCCAAACTGCGGCATGGTACGCACCAGCTATTGCTACAGTGCTGCTACAGTTCGTCATGAATGACGTTTGTCCTCCTGTGGCAGGCCATTACATTCCAGCTAGTTGTCAGCGTGTGTACAGCCGCACTTCGGGGATGATATCTCAAGGGTGCCACCCTTTTAAACTACCACGGCCTTTCTCGGGCAACCTAGGCCGAGACCTTGGTAATCAGATGAACAGTCCTCCATTGCTGGCGGCGCAAGCCAAAACGAAAACAAAACGCCGACTCGCCAGTTCTTTTTGGTCTGGCGCGCACAGGACATACGCATTGAGAAAAAGAGGCTTCGAGGAAGAAAAATGAAATAGAAAATCGCTGAAAGATTCACATACCTACTGGGCATGCAAGATCCAGAAATCCATTTCTCGATTTATGTGTGTCATCATCCTTGTGCAGGGGGCATGCTAATCTTCCTTGTATTGTTCCAGTTTTACAGATGTCAGGGAGGACAGATCCAGAAGTCCAGAAAGGGACCTAATTGTCAAAAAACTGGAATAAATCAAAAAGCAAAAGACTTTGCATCAAGTGGGAGAGGGCAACAAAAGACATGGCACCAAGTGGGAGAGGCCATGTGCATTCGGCACAACAGAGTCTTCACCTGAGATCTCCAAGTAGCCGGTAACGTTTCTGATTTACACCAAATCACATCTCTACAGCTCAGAGAATACTCACACAAGGACTTTTTTGACCCCGCTCTGGACGTAATTGTGGTCAGATGCATCCAGGCCCAGCTGTAGTTGCGATAAGATACTTGGAAGTTCCAGGAAAGCCCTGGTGTGAGCATTCCCTCAAAGAGATCTAGGGCCTGGCTCCACCACTCAGCATGTGTGCAAAATGCAAATGTATCTCCCGCTAGAACATGAAAAGATACACCCGCCATATTTTTGACTTTTCACATTTGGTGAGTGATCCAGCGACACCCCTAGTGGCCAGCATGAAGCGCGATTATACCAGCTTTGCATCAAAAGAGAAAGCACACGTGATTATACCACCTGTGTATCACAAGAAAAAGCACAAAACAGCCCGAGGATTCAAAGGGACTTGGTACACCACTCACCAAATCCACAAAAGGAGAATGAATTTTCTGCCAGAACATAGAAAGATGCACCGCCAGAATTTTTGTCTTTTGTGCATATGTTGAGTGGTGGTGCAGGCAGGTCCTAAGTGTTACGCCACCAGGCATCACCCTTTGTTCTCAGAGGAATCTGTGTCCAGAGCCTGTAGCCAGGTATCCCCATGCAGGGAGAGGAGGTAATACAGCCTTGAAACAACGGCGGACACGGCATGTTTTGAAACCCTAAAGGCAAAAAAGACTCGCGGCGGCAAGGAAACCACGCTCCAACTCGAAATGAGCGATTTCGGTCCAAAAGTATCCGTTGGGCATTTTCTCTTTTTTTTTGTTTTCCCCTCTGACACCACAGCCGACCCTTGTAAATATGACACCCGGTCTGACACCACGGGGTACTTCTGTCGCCTTTTCAAACTCGGCACGGTTTTCTTTGCCGACGAATGTTTTTTTTTGCCCATTCGATACTCAAAGGTGACGTGAACGTACTTACCTCAAAAACTTTAAAAAGGCACAGAAATAGTGCCCCTGGGGCGAGGTCCCACAACCAAAGAGGATTGGACTTATCCCCTGAATCTGGACGTGTTTGTTTGATTCGGGCGTTAACACAAATTCTCTTTGCCAGTGGTGCTGTTCCCTGACAGAGTGAGCAACATTCATCAGATTCTGGCTGTGAAGTCTACTCCCTCTTTTCTTTTTTGTTTACTGTAATTTTCATGTGGCTCGTTTGGCTAATGTTTTCTCAACTTTTCTGATATTGCCCAGCCCCTTCTACTTGAGGGCCATCAGTTTCTTTCTTTCTTTTTTTTTTTTTTTTTTGAAGACCATCAGTTTCTTTTCCACTGGCAAGTTAGAAAAATAGATCAAAATTGTAGAGGTAGAGTCTGGACTCTGGACTGGTGGCTGCCTCCCATGCTCTGGTGCTCCCAAGGTACGTTGTCTGTACCATTTTCATGGCCCTTCTCTCTCCCTGTCTCACTCTGGCAACTGGCTCTCTCATTCTCTCACACTCTCTGCCCTGGAATCTCCATTTGGATCGTAAATCTTGATGAATGAGTAGGGAGGGCCCACCTGCTCTCTCTCTCTCTCTCTCTCTCTCTCTCTCTCTCTCTCTCTCTCTCT